ACCACTGGATCTGCTGCAGTTGCTGCTGGGCCTGCAGATATGACCTGGGATCAGCCCCAAGGTACAGATTTTTGTATTAGTAAGAAAGGAATGATAGCATCTATGCCATAAATGTTGCAAAGACTTATACAACTGAATAAAATAATTGTGGTAATTGTAGTTATTTGTATGTCCAATACAGCATGTTGGGGAAGACTAATGGCTCTATTTTCTGTTTTAGATATCAATTTGTTAGCTGCAAACAGCTAGGCTTCGTCATGCAAAAGCTACCTAGAATATTTTGTCTGCAATATTTTCTTTAGTTATGGGAAAAAATATGAAAACTTAGCATTGTTACTTCTAACATTTGCATATGTCTAGCTGTAGCACAAAAATAATATAACCTATATTTTTCCAGCTTCTATTCCATTAAAATGAACACTGTGACTTTGTAAAATATTTCTGTAGCATACTTACAAAGCAAATAGTATCATTTGAGCTTGGTGTTTGAGAAACTGTATCCTAAAAATATTTCTTGATTTGCTTTCATTCATGTTCTACATTACTTGAAAAATTTGCAAAGTTTTGTAATGTTTCTTAGTCTATCTTCTGAACACTTTTTCTATTTTTCAACTCTCTCAAATACGTTTGTATTGCCTGTGAAAATTTCCATAGAAAGTATAGACACGTAATGCAGTAATTATTAAGAATGTATTGCTGCTGTTCCTGCTGCTCCTGCCGTTGCTACAGTAACATTTACTAGAGCTGTTACCCTGACCTTTCTATCCTGGTGTTCTCATTGATTCTTGGTTCTGTTGTTCAGCAGTTGTTTCTGTTTTTGTTACATTCTTAGTATGTATCTAGTAAGAACTATAACAAAATCTCTAACAATGCTAAGCAATACAAATTGGTTCATAGCATTGATGCTCAAATTCCTTTTTTATGATGTTAGATTATTATATCTAAATATCATACATCTCTTAGCCCAGTTAGCTAGTGCTTTAAATCTGGTTAAATAATTTAAATATTTTGTAGCATGAGGGAATTAAAGAGAAGTCCCTTGACGCAGTGATTTGCTGTTGTAAATTGTGGGTCCCCCCCCCCCCAAGCCAATAAAGAAATTGTATCGGTCAGGAACCTAGCCCTCCTAACATTTTCCCTAAAACTCTTCTGGTCTTAAGTGAGGTATAGAAGAAACTATCCTCTGGTAGACTAAAGAAAAGATGACACCTTTGTGATTGTATGAGGACCCCCATAGTAGAGTTCATCAGCAGTATACTACTTCTCAAAAGAAGCTCTGTAATGGTTATAATACTTGTTAATGCCAGGTGACTATCATGATCACATTAAATTGCTGTTGTTGGAACTAAACAGCTTTAGAGCATGCTTTCACAGAGACCTGTGATAGAAATTTTCAGGTTTCAAATGTCAGTAAATAAATACTTAGATAGTAGAGGTGCACTGATTCATCTGTCTGTATTGTAGCCACACAGATAAAAGAAAAAAATGACATTATTGGCAGTCGGCTTTTTTTGGCTGATGTGGTTGATAAAGTTGCCCATAAATGCCACGTGCATGTGCGCAGGTGCAGCATGCACACAGCCAGCCTGGCAGCTTGGAGAGCACTGTCCAGCTGATAAGTCCATTGCGGAGGGAAAGGGTTGCGGGGGGAGGGGGGACAGATTGAGGACCCTACGGTGAGGGAGGGAGTGGGGCTAGTCCAGATACTTCTCAACTGGGGCAGGATGTGGGACAGAGCCACAAGAGGCTCATCTGGGAGGCACAAGGAGGAAGGCAGATCCCACCACTGTGCACCCATGGGGGAGACATGGGGGGGGCATGTACCACCTAGATCTGTGCGTGGGGCAAGGGCATGCTGGGCCTGGGGGTGGCGCTGGGCTCTTCCCGGTGGGAGGCTGTGCTCTGGGTGGGCAGCAGTGGCACTGTGAGGGAGGGACACAGGGCAGCTGCAGCGAATTTTGGGGTGACTGTAGCCCACTCTATAGCCCCTCCCACCCCAGTGCTGCCACCGGTCACTCTGAGTGCAGCCCCAGCCCCACCCACCACCAGGAAGAGCCTAGGATCAGCCCCATCCCACAGTGGCAGCCTGTCCTCACCCCACACACAGTGGCAGCGCACCTTCACTCTGTGCACAGATCTGGGGGTGCACACTTCCCCATGGCACACCTGGGGGTGTGTGCAATGGTAGGTTCCACCCCATCTCCTTGCGCCCCCTGGACAAGCCTCTTACCACTCTGTCCCACCTTGGCTGGGCAGTGCACCCCAGACCCACTCCCTTCCTCACTGCAGAATCCTTGGTCTGCTCCCTCCCATGCACCTTCCCCCTCCCCCCAACAGACTTACCAGCTGGACGCTGTTCTCCAAGCTGCTGGGATGCATATCGAGAATCAGATGGGTATCAGCTGATATGGCTCGTTAAAAATCAGCCATCGGTATCAGCCCAAGTAATCTTTTATTGGTGTACCTCTATTAGATACAAAGTTCATTAGTTGGTGGGAAGGATTTATTGTTAGTTTTCTTGAAAAGGAGGGGCAAATCCATGAATGTAAAGCTTAATATGCCTGTGACATGTAGGGGCCCTAATCAAAGTCAGAGCCCATTGTGATCTGTAGTCTAAAAACACATAGAGACAGTCCTTAAACCAAAGAACTTGCAGGCAGAGATTTACCTAGACACTTAAGTAGCAACACTGTGAATGGTCTTAATTGTTTTAATGGATTTAAGTGTTGTATGTGTAAGTTTCTGTAGAGTTGTTCCTAATCGAACTATAGTTAGAGGAATAACAAGGACCCAAGGCTATACTGAAAGTCTATAGAAAAGTTAGGAAAAGAAACCAGGTCTTATGATATCAAGTCCAATGCTAGTCCAGGCTGCCTTGAATAACCACATGCTTAAATTCTGTTTATTTAAGTTAAATTGAAGAAGGGCCTTTGTACACTCCACAAAATTGGCCTTTAAAATGGCTTAAATGCACTTTTGCACTGCTTTAATGGCACTGCTGTTTGCATGTTTGGCGGTATATTCTGCTTTATTGGTGTTGCCGTTTGCATGTTCAGCAACATATTTGGCTTGAAATGACTTTGGTACATAGCAAACACCTCCAAGGTGTTTTAGTTTGCTACCTAACACATTGCAACAGTGCACAGGGTGCTGGAAGCGGGTGTGCTTGGAGCTTGGTGAGAACTGCTGTGCAGCTCAGGGACTGTAGGACCCAGTGGCAGCCTGTGCAGGCAGGCTCCACCGAAGAAGAAGAAAAAAAGCAGTGAGCCTGATCTCTCTCTCTCTCTCTCTCTCTCTCTCTCTTTTTTCCCCCCCGCCCCTGAGCCCGCCTACCTCCCTGAGCTGTGTGGGGGCCCCGTGCTTCCCTCCATAGCTGCAGGGGGTCCAGTGCTTCCCTCCATGGCTGCAGTGTCCCCTGAGACTGCCTGGGCTGGGTGCTAGAGGGTGGGTGCTTCCTGGGGGTGCCCCACACAGCTTGGGAACTGCTTGGCCTGCTGGCAGCCTGCTGTCCCATCCCCTCCCCCCCCCCCCCCGCCCCAAGATCGTTGGGGAGGGCT